CAGTACCACCTTTCCTTTAAAATTGTAGAAAGCGCTGGGACCCGGCTGCTGTGAGGCTCCGACAAAGGCCCAGGGCCTGAGGTTTCGGACCCAGGGGTGGGTGACGACCCTTCTGCTGTGCTCTGTTGGTTTAATCTCCCTAAGACTGGGACATTCTGGGGACACCTGGACTGTTTCGCCTTAGATTACATCACCCATGGGAAACCCTCAGTCTAAGATCCCATCGGACCCCGCTTTGGGATGATGCTGGCCAATGTGCTCTCTCCTGGTCTGGCTCCTGGCCTCAGATATTTGTGTAACCAAGCATGACCTAATTATGACCTAGGGAGCCAATCCAAATGGCCACTTAACGGCACCCTTGATCCCACCATCATTCGGGATTTATACAAATATTGTGAGCACTTGGGAAAGTAGAACCAGCCACCGTGTAGTTGAGCTTTCCTCTATCTCCATTCTCATCCGGAACTCTCTCTTTCCTGTTCACCAGCACAAGTTAGGCTAACTAGAAGGCTTAGAAACCCTATGACCTCTGCCTCGATCCTCCCCCGAATCAGAGTCCTTCCCCCACTAATCAACCTCACCCCATTCCACCCTTCCTGCAGGCAAAGTCTAACTCTAACACTCACTAAGAAAGATGACTTTTATAAGAAAACCTTGTTTGCCTTAAAAAAAAAACATAATGCTGGGCTGGTGGCTCACGCCTGTAATCCTAGCTATTCAGGAGGCTGAGATATGAGGATTGTGGTTCAAAGCCAGCCAGGGCAGGAAAAGACCGTGAGACTCTTATCTCCAATAAACCACTAGAAAGCCGGAAGTGGCTCTGTGGCTCAAGCAGTAGAGCGCTCGCCTTGAGCTGATAGAGCACAGGGACAGCGCCCAAGCCCAGAGTTCAAGCCCCAAGACCAACCAAAAAATAAAAAAGAATTAAGATTCTGAGTTGTTTGTTTTATTTTGTTTTGGTGCTGTTCCTGGAGCTAGAGCTGGGGCCCCTGCCTGCCTGGGCTTTTCCCCTTGAGGCTGGCACCTCCCAACTTGAGTCACACCTCTACTTCCTGCTTTTTGCTGGTTAATTGAGCAGAAGTCTTTCAGATTTGTCTTCGTGGGCTAGTTTGAAACCTCAATACTCAGACCTCAGCCTCCGGGATAGCTGGATTGTACGCAGGAGCCACTGGTGCATAGTAGATTCTGGTTTTGTATCACTTATATAATCATTCAATTTTTAGAAAAATAAGAAACATTGTTTTTCTAATTATTACCAAGTAGATTATACTCAAATTATACTCGCCTTCTCACATCTACTGCAAAATGTTCAGAATTTCTGTAACTTATTTTGACCTAGAGTTTTACCTTACATTTCTTTTCTTCCTTCCTTTCTTTTTCTTTTTCTTTCTTTCTTTTTTTGTTTTTTTTTTTGGTTGGCCATGGGGCTTGAACTCTGGGCCTGGGCACTATCCCTCAGCTCTTCAGCTCAAGGCGAGCGCTCTACCACTTGAGCCACAGCGCCACTTCCGGTTTTCTGGTAGTTTATTGGAGATAGGAGTTTCACGGTCTCTCCTGCCTGGGCTGGCTTTGAACCACGATCCTCAGATCTCAGCCTCCCGAGTAGCTAGGATGACAGGCGTGAGCCACCAGCCTGGCTCTTTTTTTTCTTTTTTTTTCTTCCTTCCTTCCTTCCTTCCTTTTATTTATTTTTTTGTCAGTCATGGGGCTTGAACTCTGGGCCTGGGCGCTGTCCCTCAGCTCTTCAGCTCAAGGCTAGTGCTCTACCATTTGAGCCACAGCGCCACTTCCGGTTTTCTGGTGGTTGATTGGAGATAAGAGTTTCACAGACTTTCCTACCTGGCTGGCTTTGAACTGTGATCCTCAGATCTCAGCCTCCCTCCTGAGTAGCTAGGATTATAAGTGTGAGCCACTGGCACCCGCTTACCTTACATTTCATTCTTCCAGTTCTGTAATAATCTACTCATTCTACTTGACAACAAAACATTCATTTTATCAGTCTGTATTCATCCTCATGAAAAGAAAGTTACCTTTCTCCTTTCAAGATATACTTCTATGATTTCCTTTAAAGTTCTCTCTTCTGCTTCTTGGTTCCTTGTTTTTATTTACTTCTTAAGTTGCATTTTGGGAAGTCTTTAAAAAACTGAATCAAGACCAATCACTATAATGTTAACCATTTTAATTTTTGTGAACACTTGTCAAGGCAATTTGCTAAGTGATTTTTACCATGTAAACAAAATTTTAGACAAAATTTATCTTAGTAAAATATCACATTTTTATGTCATTCCTATAGTTTTTTCTCAGAAAAATACATCTTTTATTCTTCTTATATAGAGTTACACACATTAATTATAAGTTTTAACTTTTACAACCTCAATTTATTATTTTTCTTTAAAAGGTTTTGTTGCTGGTCGCTGGTGGCTCACGCTTATAATCCTAGCTACTTGGGAGGCTGAGATCTGAGGATTGCAGTTCAAAGTGGCCAGGGCAGAAAAGTCCCTGTGAGATTCTGATCTCCACTTAACCACTCAAAAACTGGAAGTGGTGCTGTGGCTCAAGTGGTAGAGCACTAGCCTTGAGCAAAAGGGCTCAGGGACAATTCCCAGACCCTGAGTTCAAGCCCCACAACCAACAACAACAAAAAAGTTTTTCCCAAGGCTGGGCCTCACACATGCCAGGCAATTGGTCTGCCATAGAGCCAAACACCCAACCTTGTATCTTTAATTTTCAGTGAAGACACAGAAGGAAGCAATCTGCAATATGTCAACGATTTATGAAAACATTTTGTATTTCTAGAAATGTGGTTTTCTCTTGTACATTTTTATTAATGCACAATAGGATATATTAATTACCATATACACACCTATCTTCCTATAGAATTTAAGAAGCCCGACTTACTTGAATTATAGTTAGCAATTGATGTCTCTGTAGTTTCGCCGTTGTATAAGTATCTGTGACTTAACTAAATTTAACATGAAGTTTATTTATAAACATTTATCCCATTTCCTTTCACATAACTCACATTATAAAAGCTGAGATGCCAGGCGTAGTCATCATTTCAAGAGTTTTCTTGGTTAGAGAAAAATCATAAAAGTTTTGTCACCATGCCTGGGACACAGGAAGCAGTGGACACTGTCTGATGTCTCCATTGTATATCTGTTGTTAGATCAAACATACTTTTATGACTTTAACACCTGTCCAAGGTAAGAATAGCCCAGCCCTGCCAGCCAGCACAAGGCCCTGGCCTTGCCCTGCCCTGTTCTCCAGCCCGGCCCTGCCAGCACAAGGCCCTGGCCTTGCCCTGCCCCTGTCCTCCAGCCCGGCCCTGGAGCCCTCACTTCATGCCCTGTCCCTGTTGCCTGCTCCTTTTTGCTGGGCATTTTGGGTGAGTACTGTGTCTCCTCACCTTCAGAATGAGGGGTGAGAGGTGAAGGCCAGGATCCCTGCCACCAGGGGCCCTATGCCCATGCCTGGGGGAAGTCTCCTGGCCACACGGAGGCTGACGCTGAGCCAGGCAAGGTACAAACAGGGAGCCCTCGCAGCCCCTCCCTCGGGCGCAGGGCCGGGGCCCAGCCAGTTCGTCTGGAAGGCCCTTCCCGGCCTCCGCGTCTCTCTGCTGGGAAGCATGAATGGACAGCAGGTGTGCTGGGACACAGCTTCCGGCCTTCCCCCCCCCCCCGGCTGGCCATGGAAAGCAGTGCTGGGGCGTCCTGCGCTGCCCTCAGGCTGGCCACGGAAAGCAGTGCTGGGGCTGGCCACGGGAAGCAGTGCTGGGGCTGGCCACGGGAAGCAGTGCTGGGGCTGGCCAGAGGAAGCAGTGCTGGGGCTGGCCAGAGGAAGCAGTGCTGGAGCTGGCCACGGGAAGCAGTGCTGGGGCGCCCTGCGCTGCCCTCAGGCTGGCCATGGAAAGCAGTGCTGGGGCGTCCTGCGCTGCCCTTGGGCTGGCCATGGGAAGCAGTGCTGGGGCGCCCTGCGCTGCCCTCGGGCTGGCCACGGGAAGCAGTGCTGGGGTGCCCTGCGCTGCCCTCGGGCTGCGTGGAAGCGCGGGCTGGCCTCAGCAGGGATGCCCCAGTGCGGGGCGGCCCTGGCCCCTCCGCCCTCTGCTGGTCTCAGGCGCCACTGTCTGCCTACCCTGTCTCCAGGCTGAGACGTGGGGGAGATGGCAGGCTCCGAGGACACCGTGCTGGTGGTCTCTGGCCTTGGGGAGAAGCCAAGGACAGAGAGAATGTCTCATTTGTGCGGTTCAGACGGAGGGACACGTGGCACCAGCACCTGCTCCCTGCAGGGCACAATTGCCCTTTGAGTGCAGGGCTGGGGGCAGCCAGCACACAGGAGGCTGCTCAGAAGCCCCAGAACTAGTGCGGTGGCGAGCGTAAGGAGCGGCGGCATTCGCTGGGGCTGGTGGAGAACCGCAGGTAGGGAGCTGGAGGAGGGCAGCATGGCCCCTGTGCATCTGCAGGCTTGCTCTACCACACGCGAGTGTCTCCCCTGTCCCTGGAGCCTGTGGTCTCATCTGTGAAGGTGCAGGAAGAGGCTCTGGACCTTGGCAGGCATGACACCAGCATCCTGGGCCGGTGGCTGTGGCCTGGGGCGGGTGGCTGTGGCCTGGGGTGGTGGCTGTGGCCTGGGGCGGTGGCTGTGGCCTGGGGCGGTGGGTGTGGCCTGGGCCGGTGGCTGTGGCCTGGGGCGGTGGCTGTGGCCTGGGGCGGGTGGGAGCTCTGGGCCCTCAACACTCAAGTCCTTCCACTGGCTGGTCTGCATTCCTGGGAATCCCACAAAGCTGCCCAGCAGGTCCAGCTCAGAGGGAGGAAGTAAACTCCAGGTGTCTGGCTACCCTCCTGTGGCTCTCCGTTCTATGGAGAAGTCCCTGCTGGGAAGCAGGAGGGGCAGGAGGAAACCTGTGGCCACGGGGAGCCTGTCTCCACATACTGGCCTGATGGATGAAGGCTTAGGAAGTGGCTGCAGTGCTGGCGGGGGCCTGGCTGGGGGATGCTGGCGCCATGGCAGCTGGCCTCAACCCACCGTGCTCGGTAGAGCCTTCTTGCCCTGGAAGGCTGTCCATCCTGTACCAGCCCCATCTTATCCCGGGCTGCTCTGGCGCTGCTAGCACGCAGCCCTCTGCTGGGAAGGGGCAGGCGGGCAGAGGGGTCAGAGCCCCTGCTCAGCAATTGGGGGAGGGGACACTCTGGATCTGGCAGACCTGGGGCTCCAGGGCTCTGCTCCCCATTTTCCTCTGTCCCCATGTGCACCACACACGGACAAAGCTTTCGTCGTTGCCACAGTGAAAACAGGTACCTGAGGCACAGATGGTGGGAGGAGGCAGTGGTGGGGCCCAGGGTGGGGACGGAGGAGGAGGATGGAGGAGGAGGAGGAGGCGATGGGGCCCAGGGTGGGGATGGAGGAGGATGGAGGAGGAGGATGGAGGAGGATGGAGGAGGAGGATGGAGGAGAATGGAGGAGGATGGAGGAGGAGGATGGAGGAGGATGGAGGAGGAGGATGGAGGAGGATGGAGGAGG